CTTCCCGGTTGCCCAGGCCGAGGAAGGGGGTTTGGTAGAGGTACCCCACCTTGAGCCTTCGACTCAAAAGTCTGACCCACAAGGCAGTGGGATGGCGTAGGGTTTTGTTCGGGGACCCTGACCCTAGCCTCTGACTCAAAAGCCTGATCCACGAGGCAGTGGGAGAGTGTGGGGTTTTGTTCAAGGACCCTGACCCTAGCCTCTGACTCAAAAGTCTGACCTACGAGGCAGTGGGAAAATGTAGGGTTTTCTTTGGGGACCCTACCCGGAGCCGACGACTCAACAGTCTGACCTGCCCGGCTGCAGGGGGTTGGCCTAACCCTAAGGCGCAGGGAATAAGGCATTACTGTCTCATTCCTGATGCGGCTGCGCACAGCAGGTGCCTTTTGAACGGCACCGGGCTCTTTGGTCTTAAAAGTATTTCGACCGTATTGGATAATGCGCAGGGGGTCACGGTCAACCGTTGGGCGATCGCAGTGTGCGGTTTTTGGGGCCGACCTTTTCTAATCCGTCCTTCCTCGGGGGAAGGCAGCATCGCTGCTTCCACAAATATGGACATGCTGGTCGCCTGGGGGAAACACCTTACTACCTTCACACTCCTGTCGCAGAGGACGGTACGATTTTATCCCCAGACCGCCTCGTAGCACGATTACTCGTAGTACGGGGTCTCGCTGCTCTTGATCTGGCTACTCCCTTTTGGCCTTCCTGGCATGGTTGCACCTTGTGGAACGAAGTTCCAGCCAGTGTAGCCAACGGGATCATTGCAGCACTGAAGCCCGACCACCACGTCAAGGTAGCAGCTTTAGGTCGGGTATCAGTGCTTTATTTGAAAGCTTAGTGGTGCGTAGCGGTCATCCCCGCCTACGCGTATATTAAGCAGCTTTAGGTCGGGTATCAGTGCTTTATTTGAAAGCTTAGTGGTGCGTAGCGGTCATCCCCGCCTACCAGCGCGTATATTAACACACATAACGCTACTCAAAGCACAACCACTAACCCACCGCTACGCACCATTACGCTCCCCATTGTCACCTCGATTGGTGATGAAACGTTTGCAATCAAATTGCCCGGCTCAGCGAATAAACCAACGACTACACTGTGAATTCTTCGGCATTACTGCCATGCCACCCGAAGGAAGCACGAGGGCTTAGATACTGCGATGTTTCCCAAACCCAGGCAGGAGCGATCGGGATGCAGTGGTTAGATTCGAACCACGGACCTTCCGATGAGTACGTCCGTGCTCTAAGCATCGATCTATCTGGAATTCATATTTCAAAAAAATATATTCCAGTCCTGCGGAAAATATGTGGCACCAAAAAAATCAGGTAAACAATAATTTACCGGCGCGTATCTGTTGTCTGAAGTGAAGTGTTGTCTGTCCGTTTGTGTCATTCTAAGTTGGGCAAATGAGCAGGCATACAGCATCACGCAAGTGGAATACATTAGTGCACAAACTGGAACTGTAGTGAGCCCGAAACCCAGTACCAGAAGAGACCGCAAGATAAACTCATAAAAACTGGATCACAGTGTTCAAAATAAAGGTTGACTTCTACTGAAGCGCTGCTGTTGGTCAGACGATGTAAACTTTTTATGAAAATACCAAAAAAAATCCAGCTTATTCGAAGAAACAGGTAGATACGGATATAGAGGGAGACAAGAGTGGGCGCGTTACATAGATATGTGGTGTTAACTCGATCACTTCAAAACGCGTAATTATTTCGCCGGGAGAACATCACGGTGAGAGGGACACTGTGACCTCCAACGACTGACGGCACGGCATCCACGGCTGTGAGTGGAGATTTACATCAAGTTGTGGCAAACCGTTAAGTTTATAGCGACCTCACTTTGGAGGGAGCTCAGTTGATAATAAAAGTTCATCTCTGACGCCCTTCCGTTGTCAAGCTAGGAGGCATAAGAGCTGAAACACTATCAGGCAGCCAAAGTCTAAACAGAAGCAATCGAGAGGTCGGGGCTGGATTCGAACCTCGGAACTTCCAGTTGGTAAGTTCGAACCTCAACACTACTGAATTCAAATGCAGGTCATGCTTCCTTTGACCAAAAAGCCACTTAAAGGGGGTGCGAAATGATGGATTATGCACACCGACTTACGGATGGTTTTCAACGAAGTAAGAATGGGACGTCTCTCGGATTTGAGAAGACTGCCATCGTCTGTTTTGTCGGCATACAGCTTCAGATCCAGATAGGCCTCCAAAACATCCTGGAAAAAAAGGAAAATTAAAGGTCTGGAAAAATTCGTAGGTTTCTGCACGTAGTCATTACATTCAAATGCATCAAAACCACGTTCCAATATGGTGCCTTCAACAATTCTTCCCAAAATTAGGAATGCCCCACTCTAGGGGTAAATAACTAAGACCAGCTGAGTTCGATTGTCAGAAGGGTTTTCCACCTGATTCGCATTCGATTCATTCTCTGCTCAACTTAGCGCGCCTATACTATTTTTTTTACAGTTCGATCTGAGCGGAAACGTTCTGAATGACACGTCTTGTTCACACCCTTCACCAGAAGGCATTTGTAAAGTGTACCCTGTTCTATATCGCTTTTTCTAGGTGTTGTGATCCGAAACTATTTGACGCACAACTTACGGATTCAATACGTTTAGCCAACCATACCAGCCATACCTGTCACATGCATCAAGACCAGCTCATATGTGACATGCCCGCTCGATTTTGCTCGCACCGGAAACTCGCCTTGTCACATTCCTATCAGCGGCTTTTGCTACCAGTCCTCGGTGTTTTCGGCCAAAAAGTCCCGATTTACTGGTTCGTGAGCAGTGCTTCAGGAAAAAACGTCCAAAAAACCGTTTTGTGTGCCTTTTTAGAGAAAATTCGGTATTAGGCACATTCCAGACAGCAGAACCAATTACTCCGTGCGGTCATCCTGTCGTATTACGCCGTGTAGCTCGTTAGACTAAGTAGGTACTGTATTTCGAAAAAAGCCCGTTCATTATGTCCTATCAAACAACACCGAGTGAACTCCCACTGGAGAATGACCCTGATGAAACCGAACAGAACTGTCGTAACATGTAGCAATTTCTCGTGAAGATGAACAGGTACGAAACGCTTTTTGTCAATGCATTTTTATGCCGGAGATATACGTGGTGTCCTATAACCGGTTAACATTCACTTGGACCTGTTTTGATGAGTTCCACTTGCCCAACCGAACAACCGGTAGTAAACAACCGTGGTGATCGGCAGACTAAAATGAGATATCGAATAACGGCATCAGATATTCCCTTGGTGCAATGGAGAAACCGAAAAAATAAGGAGTGCCTAAGTACAAAGGTTCGGAGGTCACGTAACGTGTGACCGGAGAAGTACGTGTAACCAATAGTCTCAGGAGCAGGTCACGTAGTACCCATTAAAGTCCGGATACATCGGTGTGTTTCAGATCATTTGAGTGGAAAAAAAATATTTGGAGTGAATCCGCCGTAGGAAAGAACGAGTGCCGTCTGTCCCGTGAATGTGAACTTGAGAGACGAAGCACATGAAGTTCCGAATTGCATGGAAAACTCGGGTGCTCGAGTATCAGTTCTTTGTTAGGTACGTGTTCAGTTTGACATCTGCTCTGCCTCCATCATGGTAGGTCAGAGATAATCATAATCGCAATGGTGAAAATCCTATTAACCAAGAGTGACACTGCACGTACTTGCTGTAGATGAACAAAACTCTATGAGCGAGATGGCCCAAGTGGTTAGAGCGCGAATTTACTGATCGGAAGGTCCGTGGTTCGAATCCGACCTCTGCCTCTCGACTTGCCCTGTCTAGGCTTGGGCGACCTGGCAGTATCTCAGCCCTCGTGCTTCCTTCGGGCAGCATGGCAGCTAGGCATCTGGTGTTACAGCTGAGCGATTATTTTTTTATACAGGGAGTTTGTGATTAATGCAGTATTATCGTTGATCATGGTAAGCTTATCAATCCTCAGCATATTAAAGTCCTGCCACAAAAACGTGGACGTCTTCAGACCACCGTGCAAAGGGTGGTCTGGTCGTGAAGCAGTCAGTTGGAAACCTGGATCGACACTGTTAGAGAGAACATTGAACGTCAGGCTCACTAGGGGTCACATCAATGAGGCCAACACTGGATCGGTGATTGCGACAGCGTCGTCAGAGACCGCCACGCAATTGCGATTCAAGAGATCCAAGAGGAGCGCCCACGCAGGAAATAGCCGAAATAACATAGGCCTGCCGTTTTCCCCGACTGAAGTTGCGGCGCATCCTTTGTACGCCGAATAAACCTTTGGACAATCAGTTACGATGACACGCCTACGTCTGTATGCTCACTTGTCTAAATCAAAACAATTTAAGCAGCATACAAATTCGCCATTGCGGAGCGGGTTCTTTAACCAGAAGGGGTCTGACTTTGATCCAAACGACATAAGTGCTTTTCAAGAATGTACCCACTGTTTCTGGATGTTGTATTTCTGTGGGACATAAGCTCGAGAGATCTCAGTGGTTGGGGCGCAAAACTAGTGACCGGAAGGTTCGTGATTCGAACCCGACCTCTGCCTCTCGACTTCCCCTGTCTAGGTTTGGGCAACCTGGCAGTATCCCAGCCCTCGTGCTTCCTTCGGGTGGCATGGTAGTCGGACACCGAAAGAATGCTACAGCTGAACGAACTGGCTACGTGCAAACAGTGTAATAAACGCAATAAGAGGGGCTTGCAGGAAGGTCGCATGCCTGGATTTCTGACTTCGGCTTCGGTGAATACCTTCGTTATATTCACACAATAATGCCAGAGGTTCCCGTTGTTTCTCACCCGCTATTATCCACTCAAAGTGCTCATTGATACTGACAGTAGAGAAAGCTACATGTCTGCGTCTTCATCATAAATGGGAGGCGCCAACGCTACGGAAACAAACCACAAACACGTGATTTCCCAGTTAGATGGAAGGGGATTGCTGTCTCGGGATAGGGCAGTGGAATGTATTGCATCAGAAGCAAAAGCCTTCAGCGCTATCGCATTTTGTTCTGGTGCCCTAGGCAGCCATGATTTTGATGGACTCCATGAAAATTCGGAGATTCGGTCTACAATCCTCACAGGATCCTCTGCCGATTTCGAAACAGTCGCCGCAACCGTGGGCTGGTGATGAAGCGGGCGTTGTTGGAGGACCGTTAACCGTCTAATCTGCATGGTAGGCTCAATGCCTCGTTACTTCAGCTGATATCTTGTTGCTGATCGTGACCGCAAAATCAGCATCACACCACTTTTTTTGCCTGATTAGGTGGCTATTGATCTGTTCGTCAAGCTTAGCACTTAGCTTGCAAACGTTTGTCACCATGTGCGAGGATACGTCGTCAGTGAACGGTAGGGATAAATGACTCCTCAACTTCGTTTGTTTTTATATATTTCCTAAGGCGTAGGTAGTGTCCGAAACATGGTTGTTTGTTTGAGGACTGTCTGTTGTGTAATTTTATCGGTTGTCTCGGGATTGGCGTCGCGTTGTGGTCTGCTTATCTCCTATCTGTTTCGTTCATTGAATAGCTCCATCTCAGTAATTCCGTTTCTCGGAAACGCCTACTATCCCGAAGTGACCAATCAAAGTAAAAAGTAAACAACTCTCAAACAACCAATCACGTTGGAACAAATGTGCCTTAGAAACTATGGAAACACAAGCAGAAGTCAGGGAATCACTCCCCCTAACAGCGCACTGACGATCTCTCCTCGCACGGTTATGAACGTTTGCAAGCCGATTGCCAAGTTCGCAGAATAGATCAGTCGCTAACTGATCAACATAGAATTAACCCACCCCAGCTACCAATATTCGGACACACTGTTAATAACCTTTTTCTATTGACAATAAAGTATCCCTAAACCGTTCAACTTGTGCGCCAACATAGTAAACCTCCATCTACATTGTACCCCATTTGGAAAATCCCAAACACACACTGAAGCCAGATCTTCCATCCATATTTTTCAGTGGGAACAGCAGAGCAGCATTTAACATGCTCAGCTGCATGTCTATCCTCAATGCGTTCGAGAGGGGAGAGTGATTTCCTAAGAGATATCCATTAAAAGTGAAACCTCACGGGACCATAGTGAAGTCATTTCAATCGGGTGAGGACGGGTTTTTTGGGGACTAACATCATATCATTATCATCGTCAACTGTAATAACCGCGTACTTGTCGTACATTTGTTGTAGCTGCCACAGCTTCGTGCATCGATGATTTGGGGAAGTGGGGCAGGTGACTGCGCATTGGAGGTGGGAGCTGATAAATTAGTGCGTAAATACAGCACTGTCATTGGATTGTTAAGTGAGGTTATTGGTAATGGAGCTATGCATTGAAGGCAGTAACTTGGATGCATGAGCGCCATTGTGGGCGCGACTGGGCCATGTCGGACAATGTCTCTAACCATTGATGTGGCCCCCCTTCTCGGGGTCCCCATCCAGAAAGACGGCAATGACCGGCGCAGCAGAGTTTGCTGGTGCTGCTCACAAGTTTTGTATCCTTCGGCCCTCTCGTTCTAGTTGCAAGGAATACAACGTGATATACATATCATCCACTGAACTTTGCAATAGTGCCTAAGGTTTCCAGCAGCACGCATTCAACATCTGTCCACCACAACCAAGCTGGCAGTTAAATTCGTCGTACTCGGGCACCATGTTATCGGCCGAAAACTTCGGCTGCGCCTTGATTTTTACCAGCAGGTAGGAACAGTGATTGGTGGAGTATTCCATCACCGCCCATATGCAGAGCAGTCCTGATGACTGAACAGGCAACCTAGAATATTCAGCAAAGACGGGCTATTTGGACCTCGGAATTTTCAACTAATTCCGTCAACACTTACAAAAAGCTCCCACTAACCATACTGTGTAACACATGCGCACACATGGTCGAAAAGGCCGTGTCGCAAACACAAAAATACCGCGCATACGGCCGTTTGTACTAGCGTCCTGCTCTGAGGACCTTATATCACAATAATTTATTTAAAAGACGTTTTAATTGGGATAGACACAGTACAACCTCATTTCCGAACCTTCCACCGGTGACAGATTCCGAGACAAACAAGTCCACCTAGCACAACTAGTTTCAAGCAAGATAGCAGACGGAGTTACTCAGTCATGGGGAGCTACTTCAAAAGACACCGAATCAGCCTAACGAGTTCCGTATGATTCGGTCCTATTATAGGAAACAAAGCGGTGCGACGAAACCCCGGGATAGAGCCAGGATCAACAGTTGCCGGCGTATTGTCTCGAAATAGGAGTCAAACAGACAAGTGTTCGGAAAGTAAGGAGTGTGAGACGACACAACAAAGCGAAACAGCAAGCAGTCGTCTAAGGAGGCGCACTATGTATCAAGCCAGTCTCCAGAAACTGGAGATATGTACAGAAGCACTTTCCACCCGAGCGATCGGTTCAAGGGAACGCACGCCGCGAATGATCGAATATGAATCCCACCGCGGTTCCGCATCTGGACAGTATATGAACGACCGCATATGATAGCTATGGTGTGTGTGGATAAAAGTATGAGCAATCGCCTGGCTTCTTGTTACAATATCACGTGACAAAAAATTTCCTGTGACCAAAAGGTTTGTATTTCGTGTCCCTTCAAAGACAACTCCACAGCTCTGCGAGTAAACGATGGTCTCCTACCAGTCATTTGGTTCCGAAATGCCTGGAGCACTATACACGTAAGTGGCACGCCATATGAAACAACATTTCCGTAAGCCGAAACCAAAGGCGCACCTAGGTCTAGAATGAGTGTACTGGTAAAATAACAGCCGTTCAGCTGTAATACTCCCGGTACCTAGCTGCCACACACATGCTTTCGGTGTCTAGCTACCATGCCACCAGAAGGAAGCACGGGGGCTGGGACACTGCTCAAACCTACACAGAAGTCGGGATACAGAGGCAAGTTGGACCAAGTGGTTGGAGCGCGAATTTACTGACCGGAAGGTCCGTGGTTCGAACCCGACTTCTGCCTCTCGACTCCTCCTGTCTAGGCTTGGGCGACCTGGTAGTATCCCAGCCCTCGTGCCTCCTTCGTGTGGCATGGCAGCTAGACACCGAAAGTGCTACAGTTGAACAGGCCGGGTTCGAACCACGAACCTCCTGGTAGGTAAATTCCCGTTCCAACCACTGAGCCATCTCCAGAATGTTTACTGTCACAACTTCAGTGCGCCAAAAATCTTCCACGGGAATGACATGGATCGGTCCATGAATATTGGCTTTGCTTAGTCTAGTCATCCCCGTTGGTAACATTCACACTTGTGGTTTATACTGACGATTAATACCGGCGAGCTGCCGAAACACGTGGTGGAACTGTACTTACTTAGTTTAAACCAAGTTACCAAGTTTTCATGGCATTATATATCGAATCGATACGGAGATTCTTTCACCTATTGTTGTTAGGATGGTGATCAGGATAGTAAAACACACCGGGACTAAGAGAAAGACCAGCACCAGATTCGCCCGAAACGCCGCTGCCAACTCAGTGGGCGCGAACCTCTGGTGTGAGAGAAGACCCATACGGCGCATGAGCATACTGGCGATATTCTGTAGCTTTTGACGGTCAAGTCGTAATGGGACATAGCTCACCCATTCATAGCCGACATTCCATCCGAAAGGCTGTCACTGAGTTCGGTGCAATGATGAACCACGGCTATAACTTTCGCTGAATTAATAAGGCGGTACAATGGACAGACGGTGCTTTGGTAGCTGCTGGAATTGAGGCGAGTAGTGAATAGACAAAAAAGGGCGAACTGTTCTATACGACTGGACATTCGGCAGCCTGACTACCTTAAAATAACTCCCAGTCGTGACAGTAGACGGATCATTAAGTGGGAAAAGAATTAATTAACACTCAGACTCAGGGGGTTTAAAAGCACGTTTGCGGAGACTCAGTATGAATGGAAACAAATTCCGATCCCAGCTGTGTTCGCTGTCCTCGACGGGACGGCCCGGAAGCACATCAGGTCAGCCACTGAAAGACAACCAAAAATCTACCAAACCCCGGCTGTAACAGAGCACGGCCGCAACCGATCATCACAGAATTCACATTCTGCTTTTACCTCAAACGTTTGATCTTTGCCGAAGTCTCGGTCGTCGGTGGCAGCTAGGACCACGCTAGAACGTCCCGCGCAAGCTCCGCTTATTTCATTTTGGAGAAGTGACCAAAGTGAATAAGCCCAGTCGCCTGTTTGTCAGGCAGAGAAATATGCAACTTGCCTTCGCACGGCGTTATATGTCACCAAAACCCGAACAGTCTGGATGATAAACAAATGTTGATTAAATCAATAAATTGACGGTAATCACCGATCGTAGCCATTGCCTACACAGGGAGATAGGAGCACGGATGGACATGAACAAAGCGAGGACTTGGATGGTACCCCGCAGCCTTCCTGTGCAGATCAAGGCTCTTAAAGCGAGAAGCTCATGCCAAGAGCTACGTGAACTCCCGCAAAGGTGGAATAATGGCCTACCTGAGCTTGTCGAGGCCTAAGCAGTCTAAAGTAATTTGAACACAAAGAAGTCCACTTGCTAGTTGCCTACGCAATGTGACACAACTAAACACCACACGATCTGAAATGGAACAGGCAATATCTCGTACAATTGTTTATTTTTCATCAATGACTGACGCAGACATCTGCCTAAAAGGATACCGTTTTGCAACCATAATTATTAGTGATGGATGAAACGGATTGGGAAAATGGAAAGAAGGATCTTGTGTAAGAACGAGACGGCAGAAGAGACATTTACAGTGGTAAGTAGACAAAAACAGGTGAGTGGGCAAATGAGCAGAACAACGTTGAAGGTAGCGGCGAAGTATATCTACAAACATGTACAAAGGATAAGCCGTTTTAAATATACAGCTGTTTAATTATAACAAGTCGCCGCATCCAAAATTACGATAGGCAAGGCTAAGCAAAACCAGCCACTGTGATTCATTGCGTGCCGATGTTCCACAGGTTGGGGTGAACGGGAGCAAAAAGGAGCGGTGGTAGCACAGGATTTCGTCTCGTGAATCTACTGGAACAGACTGCTTAAGGGCCGCGATGAAATACAGCGATTTCAACGCAAAATGCGTCCAACTGGGAAACAGCTTGTGTATACCATGCATAGTAGTAAAGGATGACGTATGTACAGGAGACCTTGAGCGCAGTCTAATAGACGGGAACGAATGTGGAATTGATTACGTCTTGCAATATGGGCAGTAATATGTTTCCACGTTGGCCTCACTTGGTTTCAGGCCGACACAGACCTGATGGTACCAGAGCGTACATTTATCGCACTGAATCCAATCTATAGCAATATCCTGAGGCTGTTTGCATGGACGAGCAGAACACTCTTCGGTGTCGTAGTGGAACATTTCGTTGCCACTGGCATCTGCATCACCGTCCGGTCCGCTACCCTTGATCCCTTTGCCAGTTTTAGCACGCTTCTCCTTGGGTTGGCTGAGTTTACTACCGGTGGTTGATTTACGCACCGAGGAAGAGCTGGAGTGCGTCGGCTTCTTATTTTTCTCCGCTCCATTAGCTGTTGCTCGCTTCTTAACTGCCTTAGCACTGGATGAAGAACGCTTGCCAACCGAAGCGCCATCCATTTCATCGTCCCCGTCATCGTCTAAGTCATCATCCTCTTCATCCTCATCAGCTTTGCGGCGACTTGTATTGGTGCCAGGTTTTTTGAAGGATTTATGTCGGCCAGCAGCCGCCGCCATTGCACCGGTACCCGCAGACTTGGGACGCTTCAAGTCAGGAGCCGAATCATCAGACATATCATCCTCACCATCAGAACGTTGAGTGGATGAGACGGTAGAGCCCGCCTGAGCCGGATGTGACTTCCGCTTCTTAGAACCACTTTCCTTTGTGCTTGTGTCTTTCGACGGTGAGGCGTCACTGAGTTCCACCTATGAAATAAAGGCGAGAACCCAGTAAAGAACGCAGCAAAGTGACAAATTCACCTAACGAGATAGTCGCAGGGCGCTACACAAAATACTAGTAAAAATACCGCCGTTTAGTGCACAAGTCGCCGAGAACCAACCTTACATGATCTTCACAATCTTCAGGTCATCTACTCATCCTGGTGTGAGGAAGATCGTCGAAATTGACTTGATATCTGTTAGTGTTCGACCAGAGCTCTGAACTTCGTCAAAATTGAATCCATCAACAAAATGTGCCAGCAAAATCTCAAACCCTGTATTATTTCTGCAAGTGTATAGGAACTGCTAGTACGTAATGCAAGCCTATCGAAAATTTAGCTACATCAGTGGAAAATGCGTTCAGATTTTTTCTTGAAACTAATGATTATCATCAGAGGCAGCAACACTAGTGTTGAAATTGATGTTTCATTGTCGCATGATGTTTTACCGCCTCAACAGTCTCATGCCCTATAGCGATACACGGATGCAGGTTTTGACCAAATCAGGGAACAAAATGATCATTATGTGATACAATAGTTACGAAGTAAAAAAATGCGGTAAATGCGGTCAGGGCGTAGACTGTTCAATATACGCGAAAAAGTGGAAGCATTGAGGGATTCGTGAATGAGGTAAAACTTAGGCAGAATTTGTGCAAATATGTTCGCGTATGCGACAAACAGAAAACGATAATCTCAAGTGCTCTACTCCTGCACACGTAGAATCTCACTCCGAATCAAAACAACCTCACCATAATTATCGACAATGTTCAACATTGATGCTTGGCTGCCGTGCAGCCACGATTTATTGAAAGCTTTTGTCGCATGATGTTTTACCGCCTCAACAGTCTCATGCCCTATAGCGATACACGGATGCAGGTTTTGACCAAATCAGGGAACAAAATGATCATTATGTGATACAATAGTTACGAAGTAAAAAAATGCGGTAAATGCGGTCAGGGCGTAGACTGTTCAATATACGCGAAAAAGTGGAAGCATTGAGGGATTCGTGAATGAGGTAAAACTTAGGCAGAATTTGTGCAAATATGTTCGCGTATGCGACAAACAGAAAACGATAATCTCAAGTGCTCTACTCCTGCACACGTAGAATCTCACTCCGAATCAAAACAACCTCACCATAATTATCGACAATGTTCAACATTGATGCTTGGCTGCCGTGCAGCCACGATTTATTTGAAAGCTTTATTGTGAGGAGTGAAAGCGGAGGAGGGGATTTATCCTAGTCTTTATGGCGGAATAGTAGAATCAGTATCTAGCTTTACGAGCAATAAATCCTCGTTGGGATACGCGCAGTATCCATTTATGTATCATAGCCATTCTTCAGTATTTTTCACTATTCACGGATTATACGGAGACCGTACATTGGCCACCACAAAGCTGAGCATCGATCTTACCGAGATTTCCGAAGTCCTAATGTTCAACCCGTCTAGTATATCCAAACCTCCTCCCCGTTTGGTCCTTACTCTCTCGTCCAGCCTACCGTCACTACCCACTCCCAGTCACTCACACTTCCTGGATAACTTTTAGCAACAGTCTCCTCTGGTTTGCCTATATGAAACCATTTGTGCATCTGCAAAGGTTGATCTTTTGTTCCCAGGTCACAAACACCCCAAAGTATACAAACTTCTGAGTTCTAAACTCACACTAGCCTGTAGAATTGCAAGCCCGTTCGCAGTGGATTCCCTCATGTTTCCTATGCTTTTTCTCTCACAGAACCCCACCATCACCGGAATGTGGTTTCATTTCTCTATGGTGCAGTGAACCAGGCTTTCATCCTTCTTCGTGCGACTCACGTATACCTGTCCAAAGACTCCGATCGAATTCCGAGTGCCCGCTAAGGAACTGAACTATGTCTTTTTTTTCGGTGCGTGAGTCCGTTGAGATCTCAAACTCTACGCCACAAGTCCTTGAGCATCTCCTGGAGCGTGAAGTGTCTCAGTGTAGTTTTTACGTGTTTGGTCGTTTTCCTGTCAGTCGCGTACCATCATCAACAGCTTAAAATCCATGTTTGGCACTGACTCTTCCCTGCCTTATTGTGGAGAAAAGTGGTTGCGGGAGAAACTGTCATGACTACTGGTGTTCACATTATCGCTTCATAGTAACCATGCTTCGCCCTTACTTTCAGCTTATGCAGGTCTATCGTTAGATTAGTAAAGCGCTATTCAACCCCTGTAATTTTGTTTTGTTCTAGCGCTCATTTGGGATCTAGTCCCTATCCGTAGCGACGTACATGTCCAGGAACACAATGGAAGCGCCAGTCGTTCCGACACACCCAAATTTTCCAGACACCAGTGCACGCTCGAAACACTGGTTCCGAACCTGTTACTGGACACTGTCGACTCGCCCATTTGTGTATTTTGGGTGTGTGTTTATGTCACTGGCTGTCTCTATACTGAATGCGATACTAATGGACCTGAAAATTTGTACGTTCTTCCAAACAAAATAATTCATGCTCTCTATCTTCTACAAACATTCAAACAAGACAGCAGCGAAGACTTTGATCGGTTTGTCCAAAAGCTTAAATCCATCAGCAAAAATTGTGATTTAAAGGCAAACGAAAAGTGTACGCGACGCCCTGGTCAACAGGCTTCAGCAACCATCTGGCGCTAAAAATGAACTCAATCTAGATGAATTGGCCAGGTCACTAGAATCAGCCCACAAACAAGCTATCATACTCGCATAACCAACCGATAACATTTTCCGCTGCTGGAGCGCCTTTATACATATCTACGGGTTGCCTCATCACACTTAACCACCCCTGATTCCACACCTGATATCTCGTCAATCAGTTCGCAGATATGCCATCTTTGCTACTCATAAGGTTGCTGACGTGGGCTGTCGACGAATTTTCAGCAACCTTATGAGTAGCGAATTACGAAAATATACACCCCGATTCATATCCATTTTAGAAGTAGCATTTTATCAATGAATGACCGTAAGTCATTCTCAAAGTTTCCACAAGCCAACATAGATTATCGATTTTTCACTGTATAGTCTTTAAAAACCATTAGACCATAGACAGAATGCAAAGGAATTGTTCAGCTGCAGCACTCTTTCAGTGCCTAACTGCCATGCCACCAGAAGGAAGCATGAGGGCTTGGATACTGCCAGGTTGCCCAAACGTAGTCGAGGGAAGTCGAGAGGCAGAGGTCGGATTCGAACCACGTGCCTTCTGGTCAGTAAATTCGCGCTCTAACCACTGAGAGATTTCGTGGGAGGAGCGATTCGTAAACCATGTGACAGAACAGGCTACTTTCAGCGTATCTGCCGATCCAAATCAATCAAAAATCATTCGAATTGTGCTACATATTCTACCTTCTCTGTTAGCTGCTGCAAACCCAAGCTATTTGTCCCACACGGTGACCAATCTAAAAGTAAACGGAATATCGCTTCAGGCCTTCATAGGTAGAGGAGGCCCAGGCAGCTATATACCACCTCTGGTGGTTCGTACACATGACTGGCAGATACACGCCAGTGATTTTGATAGTAACATGGCACCTACGGCTCTGTAGTGTTCAACTAGCGGTTACTATTACGTATCCATCGATTACAGAGGTACCGTTCACGAAGAAAATCAAACTACTGGTGTCATCTAATTTATGCGCTGTTAAGCCACGACTTCCTCGATGTATATAACAAAGTTGAAATCACTTTCGGTGGGAGCCGATTTCCGTCCACCATCGAGTCCCACTGTTTTTACCTTTTTTGTCCTCTTTCCGCTAATCTCTCACCTGACTGCAAGCCTATCTCAACGAAGTTAGCCTACTGTTGGACGAAGGTATAATCGGACCTTTGAGTTCTCCCTGGGGGGGGGGGCTCAAGTATGGGTCACAAAAAATCCAAACCACAAAAAACGTACGTTGTTGGATCACGGTCAACCTATTAACCTGTTCACATACATAGACTGCTTGTCCGTTACTGCGACTGCGCCGTGTTTAGCACCTTAGACCTACTGAGTGCTTACCATCAGATTCCAATAAGTGAGAAAGACAGACTGTACACGGCCTTTGACGCAGGTAAAGAACTCTTTCAATTCCATCGCATCCCTTTCGGTGTAACCAACAGAATGACACACTTCCAATGCACTACTGGTCATATAATCAAGTCTTAAAACTTAAATGACACCTACGCTTACACTGACAATACCACGCCCAAAGCGGGCATGATCATAACATTAAATCTAAGAAGTAATGGAGAAATATGGAATTACCCTTAAATGTAATAAAAGCACTACAACAGCCCAACTAAACGTCTTCCCAGATATGAAGTCTCTGAAGTAGCTAGCAAACCAAATGTCGAACGAATGCGTTCTATTTGTCAACTCCCTCATCCATATGACGCTAAATTGTTTGCATGTTTGCTTATTACTTGAAATGGATACCACGCTTCCTTGACAAAACCAGTGCTTGTCAAAAACAAAACAAAAGTTATGATCGTGATAGCGGACTACAATTCACTCTTGTTCGTCAAGGACGCCTCAGTCAGCCATTGTTGAATTTTTGACCAAAAACACTGAAACCGGGTGAAAAGAACCATCCTGGTATTGATAAAGAGGCATAAGCCATCGTTGAGTCTATGCATAAACGAAAATATTATCACTTCGGGAAGCACTTCATGTCTATCACTGAACAACGGTCGGTTTCCTCTATGTGGTAGCAGAAAACTAAGCTAAAAACGAACAAATCCAGCGGTCGAGAATATAAACTTCAGCCTTTCACTATCATGTCAGCTGACGCCTTATCCCGTAACTTACGCATTAACGTGATCGGCAATGATAAGTCAAAAGCACTTTATAATTGCTTGTCCCATCCTGAAGTTAGTCACAAGCAGCACTTTTTTCTTTCCAAAATCTTGATCTTCTAAT